TAGCGCAAGGCATTAAGAATATATATATATATATATATATACATATTACTGTCGCAAATTGTTATATCGTAAGCAGACTTTGTCAAGTCAATATTTCACGGATGAATATTTTAAAGTTTTTATTAAGTCTGATTGTAGCTTTAGTGCTTATTTAAAATTCTGTGATCTAAACAAACATTCCAGAAATACAAGTAACGGTACGTGAAAGTGGGGAGAAAAAAACACAATCGAATTTTCATAATATCTTTAATTTCGGAAATTTTAAATTGATACGTAGCGAGCATAATTCCTGATATAGAGTAGTTAGGCCTTTTTTTTTTGCCGTAGCAGGTAGGTCTCGTTCTCGATAAATATCACTATTTGTTGGCTCACAACGTGTATCTAAACAGATAATCGATTCATTGGTTCTCTGTGTTCATTTTCAGGCACGACTGACGCCATTTTATATAATTAGATTCCACTCAAAAGCCCCCCAAAAAGGTGAAGTGAATTCGTATAGTGAACTCATCTATCGACACTCATAATAGTCTTTCTTTAAATGTGGTTCTATATAATTTTTTGTAAATCTTTATCATCGAAAAATTTGAAGACGATAGAAATGTTAATTATATTTTGTTTCGTTATATTTCTAATTAACATTATTCATGCTGACTCGTCCCAACACTAATATATTTCAATATAATTTACATGATGTGGAGAGTAATGGATAATATTATAATATTTTCCCTATAAGTTTACGTCTGAACTGCGTAAGATATTACATTGATGTATCTAATAACACACTGAAGCTGTGTAAGATATTACATTAATATATTTAATAACACACGGAAACTCTGAAACATATTATATTAATATATTTAATAACACATTACAGCTGCGTAATATATGATATTAATATATTTGATAACACACTACAGCTATGTAAAATATTACGTTAATGTACTTAATAACACACTGAAACTAATTGAATGAGATATTACCTTAATGTATTTAATAACACACTGATATTAATTGTGTAAAATATTACGTTAGTGTATTTAATAACATATCGAAGCTACATTGATTAAAACATTTCCAGTGTTCTTAACATGTTATATGTCTTGATTGATGGTCTGACGCTGGATATATTACACCAGAATCACGCGTTGTTGTATCAGTGTAACCTCAGATTGGCTAAACATATAGATAGCTGGCACATGAGTAATTAAAGAAAATGTTAAAACTAACATTTTTCTTTAAAATACTGTTTTCATACAGTAAACAGGACGACCATCAAATTCATTTAGAACAGAACATTGTAACCAAGTCGTTCTAACACGGTACCAACAGAAAAAATATTTTTCATCAAAAAGAACAAATAAAATCTCTCATTTTAGCGTAATCGAAAGAGTAATATATTTGTCTGATTCTGACCATGTTAACCACTACCCATACAGCCTGGCTGAGTGCCAAGCAGAAACACGATAAGAAAACACGTGTTCATTCACCTTTACAGGATTACTTGTTTTAGCGTAATCGAAAGAGTAATATATTTGTCTGATTCTGACCATGTTAACCACTACCCATACAGCCTGGCTGAGTGCCAAGCAGAAACACGATAAGAAAACACGTGTTCATTCACCTTTACAGGATTACTTGTTTTAGTTAAAGACGAGCTAATCTGGAGAAGCTAATGATTGTGAAAATACTAAACATCAACCGGAAGTTGGTTTATCTGGAGTTAAGATAATTATTAATAATAATTATTGAACATTCGGACTTACATAACTACAACTTTTCTATGGAAGTTTATTCATATTTAATTTTTACACGGGGAAGCAGACATATTACAACCTTCTTGTGTTAAAAATATTGTTTAACATTCGGGCTTACATAATCACAAGTTTTCTATAGAAGTCTATTTATTTTTTACACGGGGAAGCAGACATATTACTACCTTCTTGTGTTAAAAATATTGTTTAACATTCGGGCTTACATAACCACAAATTTTCTATAGAAGTCTATTTATTTTTTACACAGGGAAGCAGACATATTACAACCTTCTTGTGTTAAAAATATTGTTTAATAAACACAGAAGCAGACATCTCTTGACTGTAATATCTTTGTTGTTCATTACTGATTTCAGTGCTTACTCTTTTTATGAAATGCTTGTATAAAAATAATTTCTGCTTCTTCAACCTGTCGTGATTTATATATAGACTTTCGTACACGATAAATTTCGTTTGAATATTTGATTGACTGTTATGAAATCAACTTTATTTTAAATTATTTATTTTACTGAAGTGAATGATTCGCTTTGAAAAAAAAAGCATTAACGCTGCTATTGTTTTTATATTCGTACAATCCTAAACTGTCTAAAATTGTGTTAATGTTATGGATGAGTTGTTCCACAGAAAATCAGGTTCGTTGTTTAATCAACATGCAAATATTATTGATTTAAACAGCGTTAAGGAATAAGCATGTAACGTGCAAGTAAAGCAGTTCAAACAAATGCGTTGCGTGGTAGAACTAGTGTGAAATAAAAACAGTATTTCAGGAACACCTCTTCATATGTTTCAACATATCCTGGTGCTGATTACAGTTCTTTGTAAATGTCAACATATGGGAAATTAATAAAAAGGGCAATTAGCACCATTTAGAAATAGATTTAAATTCTGCGGATTCTTTAATTGGTAAATAGTATATGATAAATCATGCTTTCAGTAAGCTGTATCAGTAAAATCTTGATTGATTAGATGCAGTACCACCGCATGGCTTGCATTTGTTCTTATAGGTACAGTTTAGTTAGTTTGTATTTAAAATTTACATGTTCTGTCTTATCTTATGCATAAGGGAATATTTTAGGGTTTCTGATTTATTCCAGGTTTCGAACAAAAAAATTGCTTATTTAAAATTGATAAAGTTGCTTTATTCGAGTTTTATTACAAGCATATTTATGTTTAGACAAATAATATTCATGCCCGTACGCAGAATGTTGAACGGGGGATTCTAATTTGAGAGATCAAAAGCCAACACATGTTGTACAAAGCATGCTAATGCCACGAGGTCTGGGGGCATGCCCCCCCCCCAGCAAATTTGTAAATAGTTGGTGCTATGAGACTAAATCTGGAAGAAATTTTGCATGAAACATAGCTTAAACAATTGCATGGCTGTTCACATAAAAACCACAAACATTCAGTGAAAAGTCAACAACTCATCATTCTGCTGTAACACTGCATGAGGAACTAGACTTAAATTAGCATAAATATGTATGTTTTATTATAGTAAAGTACTGTACTATCTACATCCAGAATAGTTATTAATTGTTAAATTAAAATTATATTACTAATTTAAACATCACAAAAATAGGACGTTTGGCTGAACCCCCTCGAACACCCCCTTGCGTACGTGCGTGATCTTATTTGGTTATGCTTTTCAACTGATAGAACTAGAAGATTGAAATCTTAAGCATTAAAATAGCTTTGCCTAAAGGTATTATAACTTTATTTAACTGTCAATCTCTTTTCTTCACCAAAATGTGATATTCAGTGAAAAGAAGATTATGTAGAGGCCTTAATCTATTCATTGATTCGCTACTTCCACTGCAGCAGACTAGTTTCACCGAAATAACGGCTCATCAGCGCTGCTTGGAAGAGCAAAGCAAGTAAATCAAGTAGGCCTCGTATAGTGGTAGAATGTAAGCAGTTTGTTTGATTTAGATGTACAGTCCTTTACTTACCACAAATCACAAGTCAAATATATCTGTGCTCTGCAAAGTCTTATTCACAGCTAAAGATGTACTAGCTATTAAACAATTACCTTTGGATATTTTCAGGAATAACTCATGCTGCTGTTTGGGCGGCTTGTTGCTCCTACATCACTCAAGCAACGCCCTCTAATCTTCGTGCTTCTGCACAGGGCGTCCTTCAGGGGTTACATCATGGACTTGGTCGAGGTTGTGGTGCCATTTTAGGTGGCGTATTTGTCAGCTATTTTGGTGAGTTTAATGGAATTAGATATTCTGACATGAATGTACATGTGGAAATGTTTTTATTTTATGTTTTTAACTTGTCCTAATAACTCATGCAAACATGAGATAGCGTGAATTATGAAAAAAAAAAGAGTCAACATTCACTGATATTATCAGAATTAGGGTCTATTTTGCTCTCTCATTCTTGAGTCACATACAACACGGTGAAGTTTCAAGACACTTGCTTAGAAAGTTAACTCTGACTAACATAAGATTCAGGTTAAACCCAATAACACGATAAACAGTTACACTATAGTCAGATATTCCCAAGGGACGTGCTTACGTAATTATCCGAAAAAAACTTTTGAAAAAGTATTATTGATAATTTGTCTCGTTTAAGCGTATATTTCATTCAGATTGTAATGACGTATAACGCAAATAATGGCTAAAAAGTTTTTCAAGTTATTGATACGATTAAATATCCACACATTTGAGTTCGATAATTACAGCCCTTGAAACGCTTATTTATTCTATTTTTACTTTGTATATATATATATATATCTGTGTATGTGTAGTGTATAGTGATTTCGAAAGACACCCTCTAGACTGAACTTTTCAAATCTATTTACATTAAAACTTTTGACACAGCTTTTAATAACGAAAATGAATTAAAGTGATATCAGTTCTTATGTCAAGTTTCGTGTTTTAAAATATATTAGTCATTAGTACTTTGTTTATTCTCTCAAATAATCAAACATCGTATTAACGCGAAGTTTGAGGCTGAGTTTAAGTCTTAGCTTGTACTTTCCAGTGCTTCTCAGATATACTGGTACAGAATTTAATCTGTTTAATTAGTCTAATAGATGTCGCTTGTAAGTTCAATACTGTAGTACGTTAAATGTAAACATCTAGCTGTACTATTTTACTACTTCTGCTTTTGAATATGTGAGACTTGACATATTTCTTATTAAAATGGAAACTTGATTCGCTGTTCGAAAATGACAAGGAAAAACGTTTTTCATATGTGAACTAACTCTCTATTAGAGATAATACAATAATTGTTGTTTTGTTTTCCGACATGTAATATCAAAGTTTCGGCTTTTATGAAATAAAATGTTTATTTTATATACAAAGTACAAAAGTATTTTAATGTGCCTTGTTTTTCGGTTAATAATTGAAAAATAGCAACTTTGGTGTATATTTTTTAAGAAACTTAAATATATATAATAAAAGCTTTAGTATCATATTATTATTAACAGCTGTGAACTATTAATATATAAATTAAAAACTTAATATACACATCTTTAGTAAAAACATATCACTAATACATAAAGTAAATACCTTAGTATACATATTTTCAGTAAGGACTTTATTATTAATAATTTTAATTTATATAAAGTAAATATCTTCACGTCCATATATTCAGTACAAACTTTATCATTAATATATAAATTAAATGCCTTCATGTCCGTATCTTCAGTATAAAGTAAATACCTTAATAGATAGATATTCAGTGAATACTTTACTATTGATAAATAAGCTAAATACCTTAATAGCTATGTCTTGAGTAAATACTTCAATGCTAATATACAAACTAAATACCTTCATAGCTATGTCTTGAGTAAATACTTCAATGCTAATATACAAACTAAATACCTTCATAGCTATGTCTTGAGTTAATACTTCAATGCTAATATACAAACTAAATACCTTCAGAGCTATGTCTTCAGTAAATCCTTCATTACTAATATATAAACTAAATACCTTCATAGCTATGTCTTCAGTAAATCCTTCATTACTAATATATAAACTAAATACCTTTATAGCTATGTCTTCAGTAAATCCTTCATTACTAATATATAAACTAAATATCTTCATAGCTATGTCTTCAGTAAATCCTTCATTACTAATATATAAACTAAATACCTTCATAGCTATGTCTTCAGTAAATCCTTCGTTACTAATATATAAACTAAATATCTTCATAGCTATGTCTTCAGTAAATCCTTCATTACTAATATATAAACTAAATACCTTCATAGCTTATATATTAATAATAAAGTCTTATATCAAGATATTATATAAATATATTTATTTTACATATTAATGGTAATGTCTTTACTGAAGATACGCATATGAAGATATTTAGTTTATATATTAGTAATGAAGGATTTACTGAAGACATCAGAAACTTGTCTATAGATATTTAATCTGTGACGCGGTGCAGAAACATGTCTATAGATACTTAATCTGTGACGCGGTGTAGAAACATGTCTATAGATACTTAATCTGTGATGTGGTGCAGAAACTTGTCTATAGATACTTAAGCTGTGATGTGGTGCAGAAACTTGTCTATAGATACTTCATGTGTGACGTGGGGCAGAAACTTGTCTATACTGAAAGTATATATGAAAGTGTTTGCTTTATATCTTGAATGATAAAATCTTTGTTGAACATATGTATATGAAGGTATTTAGTTTTCTATAGATACTTAATCTGTGACGCGGTGCTGTGACGCGGTGCAGAAACTTGTCTATAGATACTTCATGTGTGACGTGGTGCAGAAACTTGTCTATTGATACTTCATGTGTGACGTGGTGCATAACTTGTCTCTAGATAGTTAATCTGTGACGTGGTGCAGAAACTTGCAGCACTTCACACATAAAGTATCTATAGACAAGTTTCTGCACCGCGTCACAGATTAGATATCTATAGACAAGTTATGCACCACGTCACACATGAAGTATCAATAGACAAGTTTCTGCACCACATCACAGATTAAGTATCTATAGACATGTTTCTGCACCGCGTCACAGATTAAGTATCTATAGACAAGTTCTGCACCACGTCACACATGAAGTATCTATAGACATGTTTCTGCACCACGTCACAGATTAAGTATCTATAGACAAGTTTCTGCACCGCGTCACAGATTAAGTATCTATAGACAAGTTCTGTACCACGTCACGGATTAATTATCTATAGACAAGTTCTGCACCACGTCACACATGAAGTATGTGTATACATGTTTCTGCACCACGTCACAGACTAAGTATCTATAGACAAGTTATGCACCACGTCACACATGAAGTATCTATAAACAAGTTTTGCACCACGTCGCACATGAAGTATCTATAGACATGTTTCTACACCGCGTCACAGATTAAGTATCTATAGACAAGTTCTGTACCAAGTCACAGATTAATTATCTATAGACAAGTTCTGTACCACGTCACACATGAAGTATCTATAGACAAGTCCTGTACCACGTCACAGATTAACTATCTATAGACAAGTTCTGCACCACGTCACAGATTAATTATCTATAGACAAGTTCTGCACCACGTCACAGATTAATTATCTATAGACAAGTTCTGCACCACGTCACAGATTAATTATCTGTACCACGTCACAGCAAGGGAAGGGTATTTAAGCGTTCATTTAACATGAAGCACGCAATTCATTTTTTACTCTAGCCATCTTAGAAAAATCTCTTTCTGCACTGCAGTTAGGTGCGGGTAGGCTCAAATATATTCAGGAGCTTTGTATAACTTGGATAGTGTAAGATTTGCTTCATGTTATCGCATATTTTGACACTTCTTATGGCAGGCATTTTGGAAATCACGGTTCAAAAGGTAATAAAATTTCATTATAAACAATTGTATAAGGTTAAAAAGTTTCAAACTATTTAGTGTAAAGAAATATTGTTTACTGCTACAATTTGAAGTAATTCTAGAAGAAAAAATAATAATTTTGATTCATTTTGTATTTGTTATGGTGGTTACGAGGTCGGTCAAATTGATCTAGTCTGTATTGAGTAATAATAGTACAAATAACAGATAACATATGAAGATTTATTGAAAAAAAAGAGAGAGTTAAACTGACGGTCCGGATCGTCAGTAGGGGCCCCTCACCGCTTGTGGCACTAGCGCAACTGCACCACGGTTAATGCGGCCCTGATTGAAGATTAAGATATTATGATAAAACTTTGTAAATAATCATGCAGATGATAAATAATGTCTATTAACCACACACTGCTCCTTGAAGATTTATAAATTAATTCTCAGAAAAAGAGATAAATCACGCAACTAGAGAGTTAAATTATTTTAACTTTGCATTATCCTTAATAATTTAGATATCCGTTCTCACCACTGCCTCACTCAGTGTGTCTATGCTATATGACGCAGCCCAGCATTACAGATGTCTTATTGGTGAACAGGAAGAGAACTCGTCTCTCATAAACCTAGATGTCTTCGCATTCTAACCAATGATGAGCGAGATATACTGTCGAATAATGTTTTAAAACACTTTGGGCCCTTCACCAACTTAGTAATGCAATCATTTAAATTCTAAAACATCTTCGTGTAATTGTTGAAGTATAGTTAACAAAAGAAGTACCGTATTTGATGGCATATTGGACGCATGGGTATATATAAGACGCACCTCCTTTTCAGCAGGTCAGATTCAGGAAAAAAAGTTTTTAGTGTATTTAAGCATTGATTGGTGAAAGTAATCTAACAGCACATTACACGGAGCACGCGGTAGCATTCCCTATTGTTTGCTTGTAATTTGCCTCTATCTATATCTTGGCTCACTGATTGGCCGTGCATTTTTCGAGTTGTTGACACAAGTTGGTCGCTATATCAAGTTTCACAGTAAAGATAAAACGACGTGACGAAACCTTGTTTCTGAAGGGACAGGCGTTCGCACTTTTAAGAGATAGACCTTCCATCCTTTAACAGGATGCTGAAAATTCGACTGCGTCTGGCCTATGTAAATTTCCTATTTCTTATTTCGTAGTTGGAATGCTGTACTGATCGTATGCTAGGATAGTGAGCGTTAGGAAGAACTTCGCATATTAGACGCAGGGCGATTTTTTGAGCCAAACGTTTGGGAAATAAGTGCGTCCTATATGCCGTCAAATACGGTAATTCGAAAATACAAATTAGGAGACTTTCTACTTATAATTAGACCAGAAAACTCACATTAAACAATCCCTTCTAATGCTTGGAGACGGCTTGAATGGGTAATGAGAAAAACTTTAATTTAAGTTTAACATAACAGCAAATGTACAACGTTTCGACAAGGTTTTGTCATCATCAGGCATCGTTACTAATGCTTTAAGGAAAGACATAAAATAAAGTACGAACATAGGTTTACTGTGGTGAGTAAAATACAACTAAAAACACTGTTACGTCTCTGGTCGTTAGTTAACTTCCCTTATAATTTATTTCCGATGAAACTTTAGCGACAGATAAAACTCGTTCTTAACTAAAAAACAAAAATAAAAAAAGTTCTTAAATAAAACTCGTTTATTCTTTCTAAATACAACTTTGCAATACACTTAATTTCCACAGTCACGCTATAACAAACGCTATGTAAGAGCTGGCACAGGACTTGGAAAGTATGGCACACAAGGCCTACCCAACTGCACCATCCGATCTCCTCAGGTTGTTGCTGAGGGATCAGTTTGTAGACACCTTGGACAGTCTACAACTTAAGATACAAGTGAAGCAAGCACACCCCTCTACTATGCAGGATGCAATGGCCAGAGCTCTCGAATTTGAATCCTACGTTAAGTCCAGCACAGAGGTACCAAGGTTGGTACAGTCACCAGGATTCAAGGCCAGAAAAGGTCAGCTTTCAGAGACGTTTGAGGGACTTTGCTGGCACTGTAACAAACCTGGGCACAAGAGAGCTCAATGCTGGCAACTTCAACACAGGGGAGACGATACAGCAGTAAAGGCTGCTACCCAGAATGGCTGTTGGAACTGTGGGGAGCAAGGACATCTGATGAGCCAGTGTAAGATGTGACTGTTACCAATGATAGGACGTTTCCTGATGAAGCAGATAAACCCCACGTGAAGCAGAAGCGAACGAGACGGAGACCACTACGGAAGAAGATACGTCCCGTAAAATTAAGAGACTTTGTTGAATTTTAATTTTGTGTTTGTAAATTTTGTACATTTAATTAAGTTATTGTTGATTGTTTATTGGTTTAATGTAAGTGGCTATTGTTCGGGACGAACAATACTAAGGAAGGGGCAGTGTTACGACAGCGGGGGTCACGTGAACTTCTTGGCGGCTTATATATACAAGACTACCGCATACCTAGTAGCCTCCCGAGACTTCAGGAAGGGACGTGAACATTCGAGAATATGACGCGTTACTAGAAGACGGCAACAAGGGGTAATGTAATGCGTAATTGACAGTTGAGTCGAGCACATGAGACGTTCGTTGTGAATTATAGCGTTTGTTATAGCGCAACTGTGGAAATTAAGTGTATTGCAAAGTTGTATTCAGAAAGAATAAACCAGTTTTATTTAAGAAAGGATTGTATCGCTAAAGTTTCTTCAGAAAGAATTTTTACGGAAAATTAACCAACGAACGAAGACGTAACAGTATTATATTCTTCTCATAAGACTTCAATGGGATATTTCTCGTTGGATCACCCTGTAGACTGAACAACTTGTTTCCTTTATATTACATTTATTATTTCTATGTTTTAATTACAGAAGGGGGATTATATTACGTTATGTGTGTACTGATGTCAAGTTATTCAAGATACATTTAATCTACAATAGTACATAAAACAAATCATTAGTGTATACATGAGCTAGAAGTTATACTCTAATCTTTCCTTAATGCTGCTTTCATTATCACTATTGATCAGATTGTTTAACTTATCCATTTCTATTATTTGCAAGATGTTCATTATTATGTATATTATTATAAGGATTATTTTGCACTGTTAGCTTAGAATATGTATCTAAAACTAACCTAGAATAACTTCTAAGCTGTTCAAACTTCGGGAGATTTTTTTTGGGTTTATGGCCGAAAATATCGCTAACAGTTGAGGTACACAAATTGGTATACAGTGCATGTTTATCATTATAAGTAAGATTAGGGACAGTAAATTGAATCAGCAATATGGGTAGATTTTTAGTTTGATCCATGTAGATAGTTTGCTTTGATCAGAAGTTAATGGTAATTAATGCTTAGTTTGCATGACTTTATAGGGTTGATGATTACAATACGAAATATAATTTCTATCATTGAGAGGATATTCGCATCCAAATGTGAACCACTCACGTAAAGTACTATTGATTCGCTTTTCTTCGGTGTATATACTGTAGTTTTGTTGTTGTTGTTTGTTATTAAGCACAAAGCTACACAAAGAGTTACCTGTGCTCTGCCCACCACGGGTATTGAAACCCGGTTTCTACCGGTATAAGTCTACAGACATACCGCTGTGCCACAGGGGGGTATATACTGGAGTAAAATAAGTGATCAAAATAACATTTTACTCAATCTATTTCTTTTATATCTAC